TCTGAGATGGAGCCCAAACCCAAAGAGGTAGCTTGTAGCAACCGGCTCTGTGCTTCCTCCAGTCCAGGCTCCCGCTCCGGGTGCTCACGGCTGAGATGGCAGCAGCGGGGCGTGAACGAGGACCGGCGTGAGCTGGCGCAGCGGCATTCTCGGCATCTCTCCTTGGACAAATTTTGCAACTTTGAAAAATGAGGCATTTGCTAAGTTTCTCACACCTCACCCTGGGCTCTTCTGGGTTCTCACCAACTGCCGCATCACCCGTCTGAATGACTCTCAGATTATGGGGCTGGGCAGGGCAACCCCCTGGGAGCTGACTCTCATCCCACGGAGCGGATGTAGTAAGGACAGAGCATCCACATCCCCAAGGAAAACCAGGACTTAAATACAACACCTCAGTGCGCGGCTCTCCTTCTCCATCTCAGGACATTTGGGGATGATGATGCCTAAAGCATGCAGGGGTCTAGGGATGAAGGGCACCATGTAACACATAGGTCCTATCGTTACCCAGGCCTCCAGGGTAATTCCCCCACAGGACAGGCTTTGTGGGCACATGGTGCCCAGTGCTACCCAGGGGGGACCCGCAAGGTAGAGGGTCAGTGAGACCCTCTACATCTCCCTGCTGCAGCACATGGGGGAATGGGACTGAGCCCTTCCCAAGAGCTATGAGTCCAACTCTCCCTCCCTAACCCAAGAGGGCTGGTTTTCAAGCTCAGAGATAGAACAGTCATGGGAGGGGGGTTCCTGGCTCCAGGAGGGGCATTTACTGTTAGAAACCCTGGGGGAATTACCAGCTGCAATCAGCCCCGAGACAGGCAGTGCCCCTGCACTGCTTCTGCTGTATCACCAGCCCAGACAAGCAAGGGCAGCTCAGCTATAAATCACTCCCGTGTCTCTCCCAAGCGCAAGCCCGTCCTGTCTCCACGAGACCAGCCCCAGCAACGCGCCAGCCATGGAAACTGGACATTTTCCACCCCAAATTCCTTCCCACTTCAAAGCCATTGTAAAAGACACTTCGACGAAGAGTCTCCCAGGCAAAATATAAGCAGCTTGTAAAGCAGCTAAGATCCTGCCCAGTGCAAAAATAAGCAGGATCACAATAGCCTCAGATATTCCCCTCCTGCATAAAAGTACAGGAAGGGGAACATGCATTTGTGAGCCCCAGGGCTTCGATTAAACCCCAGTGGCCAGGTATTCCCTGCTCTCACCTGCAGGGCATACCAGGAGATGCAGGGCAGAGCCCAGGAGCTCCAGGTATGATCAGTACTCCAAACCCTGCTGACACCCCGAAGGTTATCCCCTTCCATCAACCATGGTTGAGGCAGCAACAGGACTGCCAGCCCCAGAGGAGTGAGCACAGGACTTGACGCCACTTCAAGCAGCAATCACCCGCTTTCCCTCCCCACTTTCAGACCATCTGTCCAAAGCTCCTCTCAAATGGCTGCTAAGCCCCCAGAATTTCATCCACCAGCAAGGAAGCTGCCATGACAGGTGGGGAGAGCAGTCTCCAGGAAAGCTCTTCCCCTATCTGCATGGGTCAGTGCCAACTTCTAGCACGTTTTTTTCCAAGCACCTTGTTACCTTTCGCTACTAAACCCAACTCGGTGCGCATCTGGGGGCCGCAGAGCAGCCAGAGACACTGCAGCCACAACAAAGGTCAGCTGGACTTGCAGGTGGTTGTCTGTACTACCCCAGCCCCATGTAATTCCCCTTCACCCCCTTACCTTCTTCCCGCTCTCCGAACTGAAGCTGTGCGAGTGCCTTTTGAGACCCCCGCCACTCAGATCCAGCTGGGGCTTCCAGACGTCCCCGTTGTCGCTGCTGGATGACTTGACTGGAGACACGGTTGAGGTCAGCAGGATCCCGGTGTGCACCATCTCCTCGGTGCATGTCAGGCGCAGGCTGCGCAGGTATTCGTCCGTCTCCTTATCCACCACCAGCAGGCGAGTCTCGGCCTCCACAGCTTTGATGCGCTGCACAACCTAGAGAAAAGGGAGAGGAGAGATTTAGCGAGGCAGCTGCAAATGGCACAATGGGGTACATGCAATGCCAGGCTGCTCTCTCTCATATGGTGGCTCTGAAAGGATCACTGCTCTGCGATTTGCTGTGTAGGTACAATCTTTTCTAGGGCATGCAAAACCAAACAGAGACCAGAAAAGCTCCTACTTCATGGGGTTACGTTCCTCCAAAAAAACAAGCAGCTGGATGGACCTTGCCAGGCAGCGTTTGCTAAATGTTCCCAGTTTCCTTTATTCTGAGTTGTTTCAGAGACAGAGAGACTGAGCATGAGCATGTATGTGCAGGAGAGGAGAGCGAGACTGACACTGCACGTTGGTGCACACGTGAGCTTTGTTCAGGTCCATCTTTGTTCGCTATTCCCCACTGGGCAATGTATTCCCCAAATATTCGATACTCCCCGCTTATTTAGGAAAGCGACTATCCGACTCCGTGCATTCATCCTGGCTGTGCTGTCAGACAGCCGAGATAAGGAAATGAAATGTCAGCCAAAGGGGCTGGGAACGGGAGAGGGAGCCTGTCACCTCCGAGGCTCTCCTTGGAATCCCTCTCAGTCCGTAGTGAATGAACCATTGTCCCCAGAAGGTTTTTTTCAAACTGGTGGACAGTCTGAAAGGAGTCGGTGAAGGCAGCCCAGACCGCAGGGGAGCGGGAGGGTCTGGAAGAGAAGGCACCGGTATGGGCATGGGCCTAGGTTGCCTGCTAAACTCTGCCAAATGGCTTTCTGCGTGCCCTGGAACAAGTCACGCTGTGCCACAGCCTGGCCTTGGTGGAGTGGGGAGGATGGCACTGCGTGTCCTGCAGGTGGGTGGGTGAGCACATGCTTGTGAACATGCAGGAATAAATGCACTCACGATCGTGAGGCACTCAGCCCACAGACATGATGGACAGGCAGGTCTATAGACAGGACAGGAAAAGATGCCCCATGACCAAAGACTTCCAAACGGGCCTCACTTGCTCTCCCCGTTGGAGGTCTCAGAGGACCCTGAAACAGGATGCTGCTTTCTCTTCCTCACTTTAGGACAAGGTGGGGGTGGCATGCTGCATCCTGCCCATGAGGTGTCCTGCTGTCCAGGGCTGTGCAATCACCTTAGACACCAGCAAGGAGCTAGCCAGACACTTCCCATGCAGTGGCACCAGCCCATCCCGTGCACAGGCCTGTCCCTGCTTGCTCCTAGTAGACTACTCCTGCATCATGCTTTCTGACAGGGCCTGGCCCTCTTGCTCCAAGCTGTCACAGCCAGACAGGACAGATGGCACTCTCCAAGGCTATAAGTGACAAACAGACTGCCCACGATTTACTGACTCCACGGCACTCTCCATTCAAGGGCATCGCACCAGCATCCACCTGCGAGAAACGGCCCAAGGAGGAATTTATGGACTGCCTGTGACTCCTCCTGAACTCGCTCATCCAGCAAATGCTGATCGTCGTGCCACGGTCTGCCCTGGACCTGGAGCCAACCCATCCATAACCCGCCTGGAGAGTGCTATTCAATTAGGCCCCTCTCTCCCCATCAGACCTGCTGGGATTCAGCATCACACTAGCTGCTGAGGGAGACGGGAGGCAGTGACCGTGCAAGTCAGCCTCTCCGGGCAGCAGGGGCGGCTGTGGTGGGGGACTCAGGTGCCACCCCAACTGGCTGGGACCATTCTGTCGGCAGAGCATCTGCAGGGAGACCTAGCCTTTACCAGGGTGCGACGGCACTTCCCAAGGCAGCACTGCCCAATGGGGCCCCAATCCTGACTGCACCTCTGGGCCCTCCTGCAACAGCCACCAGGGAGAAGAGGCGTTTTGGTCCCCTGGAGCGTGTCAGCATCTTCAGGGCACTCCCAAAGTCCTTGCTGTGCACCTCTGCAGAGAGGATGCTGCCAAATTCCTCGCCTGCTGCCATCTTAGGAGCACAAGCCAGGCAGGGACCTCCCAGCTCAATGGGTCTAGTCCCTGATTGCTGCAAGCAGCCCTGTCCAAGGGAAACTCTTTCAGCACTGCAAGGCTGGCAAAACCCTGTCCCCCAAACCCATTGAAAACTAGCGACTCCGAACAAGCCCACAGAGTTATGGTGTGAGCAAAGCAACCACGCACTAGCTACAGCTCACACCAGAAGACCCCACGAGGCCTCGCAGCTCCTCTGCAAAGCAATCGAGGCTTTTTTGACAACGAAACATGGTGGAAGGAAGGAGGCAGCTGTGAAAAGGATTCATCATCAGGGCTCCTCCTGATAGCTCACTGAACTGCTGGGCTCATGGCTGCTCAGACCATTTCAATGGGATGAGACAGCTGTTCTGGAGGGGCAGGTGTTGGTGGGAACTGCTGGAGGCCCCAGCTTTGCTATACAATAGAGACAGCATGGACAGAAGCAGGGCAAGTGTCCCCCAGGCCAGCTTCCCCAGCAGCGTGCCTCCACTCTGACCTGATGAGACCTGGAAGGTGAATACCCTCCATAGGCTCTTTGGACTCTCTGTTGAGGCTGGAAGCAAGACAGTCAAAGGGTGTAACTGGAACTGGGGTCCATCTAGGCATTTAGCAGCAGGATTATCCCAGAAGCCACATCCCACCGTGCTTTTCAGTTCTGGCACTAGAGCCCTATTGGACAACAACTTCATACGTTTGAAGTCTGAGGTCTAGTAAACAGCAGGAGCGAAGGTCTCTGAAGTCCAATCCAAGCTTGCACACAGACTCTCTCCAGGGATTTGAGCAAAGCACTCTGTTTTCTCTGTGCCACAGTCTCATAGAATCACTGAGTCGGAAGAGACCTAGACAGATCATCCAGTCCGACCCCCCGCCATGGGCAGGAAGGAGCACTGGGGGTGGAGGGGTCATAAGACCCCAGCCAGGTGCCTATCCAGTCTCCTCCTGAAGATCTCCAGGGAAGGTGAGAGCACCACCTCTCTGGGAAGCCTATTCCAGGCTCTGGCCACCCTTACCGTGAAGTAGTTCTTCCTAATATCTAACCTAAACCTATCCTCCCTCAGCTTGTGGCCATTGTTCCTGGTGACTCCAAGGGGGGCCCTGGTGAACAGACTTTCCCCAAGTCCCTGCTGCTGGCCCCTGATAAGGTTGTAGGCAGCCACAAGATCCCCCCTCAGTCTCCTCTTGCGGAGACTGAAGAGATTCAGATCCCTCAACCTCTCCTCATAGGGTTTCACTGCACCCTGCCTTGTCCACGCTAGGACAATGAGGTTGATAAAACCCCTAACTCACAAGGCTTAGTTACCTACAGAGGTTACAGATATCAATAACCTAGTCCTCCCTCTTCTCAGCCATTTCCCAGACCTGTTCAACTTTGTTCCTTGCAATGAGTTTCCCAGCTCTTTGCCCTGTCTTGCTGGAGTCATCTGATCCCAGCAGTCTTTCCTGCCCAAGTGCAGGGGGGCTGTAAGGTCTCCTCCAGCCCCTAACATCTAAGAAACTGTCTAGCTTTTAATGTCTCAAGTGATGAGGCTCTCACCCCGTGTGGGAAAGTCATTCTTCAACCCTCCTGCCAGCCTCATCACCATTATAATTAGAGCATACATCAAAGTTTGGGAACATGAACGTCTTTCTGTTTCTGCTGATCACTGCACACCCAGTCCAACAGCTTTTCCTGGTGTTGCTAACAGTGCTTTTTGGCAGGAGGAGGTGGGCTAGCACGGGGCAGTCACCAGGTTTGAAATCAATTACTGCGCGTCTTCAGTCTGTGCGTGACTGCTTTTTTTAGGGCAAGACTTGCGACAGACTTTCCTTATGCCTCCCTATAATTATGCAACCTTCATTAACATTTGAAGTGCCGGGCCAATTAGCAGAATCCTGACAAATCTGGTGTGCAAGAATCAGGCTGCAGGCCTAGCAAAGCTCCAGGGCTCATATTTATCAAGGCAATCTCCCATGCTCAACTTAACTCATCACTGCTGAAATGCAGCTGTGAAGCAGACCATTAAAATGACATTGCACCCTCTCCCAAACATCCCCAGTAATCCACAACCAGGTTTACAATTGAAAAGGAGCTTTTGCTAAGGGCCAGCACCAGCTCATCTCAGCTGCCAGCTCATCTGGGGATCTGAACTGCACTAGATAAGCAGGGAAGAGGTCACCCAGGGTTAAATGGTAGAGGAGTGTTACAACTGCACCCTGCCTTGTCCACGCTAGGACCTTAACCTGGGTTAGCCAATACAGCACATAAAGAAACACACCTTTCCCCCGAAATGTGGACGCAGCCCAAGGAAGACAGAACAGAACTAACTGCAACAGCTCTGGAACAAAAGCATTTTCATTGCTAAGCAAAGAGAACTAAAGCTGAGCGATTCTCCTGACTCGGAGCGATTCGAGTAAAGGCAGTAAAAGCCACTTTCTGCCCGTAAATTATGCTTCAGCCCAGCCAATTGTAAAATGGATTTTTCCCCCTAGTTATAGCTCTCATCAAGGGTGGTTTAGGCAGCGGCCTTATAGTTGTGCAGCGTTAACCAGCACACATTCATTTACCTGTCTAGCCACAAATATTGAGGAGGAGGACGCCAAGACAGGAGCATGGTGCCTTGAACAGACCTTCCACATTTAGCTTTGCAGCTTGTTTGCATTTAGGAGGAAAAAAAAAACAGAAGTCGGGGAAACAAGCAAACACTATGAAATGTCCAAAAACGTCAACTTCCCGAGCTTGCGACAACCTTGAGCAGCCTAAGGATCTTTGCTACAGGTCATTTCAGGGCTAGAGGTAAAAGGGCTATTGGCTCAAAGGCCACTATTCTGAAGAGAATGGGAAAAGTCATGGAGTCCAATACCCTGGTATCACCCTTTAGTCCAGCACCCTGGTATCACTTAGGGCAAGGAGCACCAGAAAATATTTGGCGTATTGTTCTGAAGCATAAGGATTGCCAGCCTCGTAACGTCATCCTACCTGCTGAGATCCCAAATGCTAACTTTGTCAAAACACTGAATATTCTGAAATCTGCTGGGCTATTTGCAAGGAGAAGGAAACATGCAGAAGATGACAGGCCCCTCATTTCACTTACACCGCGCAACTAGAAAGCCCACACATTTCAGACACGTTAAATCACCCATCATCGCCTCGTCAGATTTTCATACGAAGAGCCCTGACACTTCTCCGATGGGAAACGCAGCTCCATATGTAACAGGAGCTCCCTTTTCCTCCCAGCAATTAGACAAGAGGAAGAGATGGAGCCTGACTCGATTCCAAATCAGAACGAGAGGGCTCGTGTTCACTTTTGCAGAGGGTGCTCGGCTCGCCTGGGTCTGTTTTGCTAATGAACAAACAATAAGAGCCAAATCCAGTGTGGTGTCAGCAAGCTCAACTCCATATTGCAGCACTACCAAGACCACAGACTGCTCCAACGCCCTGCACCAGTTTTCAGCCTTATACTCAGGGCCCCTTGCTGGACTCCGGGCACTCTCAGCCCTCAGAAAATGCCAGCTCTTAGCTTTCACTTGTTTCTTGACCACAAAAAAAGTTGCAAAAAAAAAAAAAGCCCACAGCAAGGCAGGACATTTTTGATATTACTTGAAATCTCTGGGTTTACCTTGTGAATCATGCATAGCTGTCTGCATCCTTAATATTGCACCACACTGTGGGTCACCCTTAAAAAGACCTCACAGCTGGCACCCTGGCTGGAGAGATCACTGTGCCAATGAGTTGATCATCAAGTACCCACACCTCTAGGACCCACTACCAGCAATTCATCACCGAAGCCCACTATCCTGATCGTCCTGGCCGGTCCCTGGCGCACGCAGGAGACAGACCAATACCTGACAAAAGCAGCACACTTCCAGGGGGTCCCTGCCATATGCTTTAAGCTACGAATATACTCAAGCCCCTGCTGCCCTAAACAGATAGCCACACAGAACTGCTAAACACCAAGCCAGCAAGAGATCTCGTCCCCACCGTTATTTGTCCATATTAACCTGTAATCAACAGAAATCCCAATTTTACCCTAGTAACAAGCACGGAACATTTGCCTCGGGGGCGGTACGCTTTTCCAACTACTTGAGCTGATCTAATAAAAGACATCAGATTGACCCAAAGAACCTCATCTGAACATCTGTCTTTCCCCAGCCCCCTGCAAACGTCAGGAGATCGCCCGGTTAGGCAGGGAGCCCCACAATCACAAAAACAGAGCCAGAAACCACCCTGTCTCCTCATCCCAACCCTCCTGCACCTCTTCCTCGATGCCCTCCCCACCAAGACCCGGGACTTGCTGGCCGGCTCCTCCTGGCCCTGGCCCAGCGGGGCAGCTATGTGAGCTGGCTGGGAGGTCCCCAGGACTGCGGACAGGGGTATGTCCGAGAGCAGGCGGGGGCAGGGTCCCGGGTGCTGCCCCTCTGCCGGGGCCGGGGCCGGGGCCGCACCTGGTGATGCGTCTCCTTGTCCACGTTGACGCCGTTGACCTCGACGACGCGGTCCCCGGCCCGCAGCGCCGCCGCTTCAGCCGGGGAGCCGGGCTCCACTTTGCGGATGAACTGGCCGCTCTTGCCCTTCTCGCCGTGCAGGTGGAAGCCGTAGCCCTGCTCGCCCTTCAGCATGTGGCACAGCCGCGGCTTCAGCTGGTCCTTGGCCATGGCTCCGCCGGCCCCGACCCCGGTCCCGGTCCCGCCTAGGCGCGGGAGGCTGCGGACGGGGCCATGCCGCCGCTGCCCGGCTCCGGCTCCGGCTCCGGCTC